TTTCTTCTTTGTACTGTACAGTAGCCACTAGCCTATTGAACTTTTGGAAAGTGTTTGGTACAACTCAGGAACTAGCTTTAACTTATATTTAATTTTAATTAATTATAATTTAAATTTAACTAGCACATGGGGTAGCAGCTACTATATTGGACAGTTCAATTCTAGAACTTAGCTTCCAACAGTAGTGCTGTTGTGACCAGCAACATCTGCATCCCTTTAGAGCCTTTTAGGAATGCAGAATTTCTAGCCCCAATCCACAATTCCTAAATCTGAACCTTAATAAGACTCCCCCTTGATTCTTATGCACATTAAAGTATTAGAAGCACTGGGTTGAAGTCTGAAATCTTTGACTTGCTAAATCCTTCAGTATTTGGGATTTCCCTTTTCTGTTTTTCTCACCCTTCCCCATACATTCCACTCAATTAATCTCTCCTGAAATAACCGTTTTGTTTGAGCCTGTGGTGGAAGGGTCTCAATCTGGCTCCCAGACCAAGGCTCCAATGTGATATCTTCCATGACTTTCCCCTTTATTCACTTAGGAAGTAATTGCTTTTTTGTATTTCTAGAGAACTTGCACAATTCAGATGGAGAACCATTGTGTCACAGAATTTTCTTTAGCAGAGTAGACGTTTACTCATTTACTGGTATAAAAGCAATATCTAGATATCAAAGATTGAATGAGGATAGAGGCCATGTCAAAAGTACCTAACACTCATGTTCACATTCTTAAGGGCTGTTCTTTCCCTGCATCCTTAGTAGTATGCACACATTGCCCTTTGCCCTAGGAAACTGGATACCAGGGAAATAAATTGGCTATTAGACGTAGATTCTTGTCTACCTGCAGATTTTAAAAAATAGAGCTTTACATTTTGGCTAAATCCCTCGTACAGGCAAATGGTCTTAACTTGCTGGCAGTTTCCTAGGGTATCCCAGGCTCTGAGGGTGCATAGACATAATGCAGCCAGGCAGCAGTATTCCAGTCTGCCCCTGCAAGAGGTTCTTGAAGTTCTTTGAAGAGCAATTGGCCTGATGGCTTCCTAGCTTGTTGAGGCCTGGACTCCACTTACAAAGGTATTGTAAGCTCATGCCTGCTGGTGGCTGAGAGCCAGCAACATTTTTAAGCATTAGTTCTCAGGTCTTCAGAATTTATACAATCAAATAATTCCAGAAACAAATTGGGATTCCCCAGGTCAGGGACAAGCAATATTCTGTCACTCCTCAAATGAATGTCAATGTCTTGATTCCTTTCTTCTTTCTGATACCCACATGAGATGTCTGTACATCAGGGCCAGAAACAGGAAAACTGGGGAGGCCTAAACTGCCAGGGCACTGTGACTTTACCCAAGGCTGACATTGTTCCTGTTGAGTAGGTTTCCTGCATTTTTAATTTTTTTTTGTACTTTTAAATTTGTTCTAATTCGTTCTACATGAAAGTACAATGCACTTTGATGCATTATACATACATGGAGTATAATTTCTCATTCTGGTTGTATATGAGGTAGAATCACACTGGTACTGTGGTCATATAAGCACATAGGGTAATAATCTTCAATTCATTCTATTATCCTTCCTACTCCCCATACCCCCTGCCCTCCCTTCACTCCCCTCTGCCTAGTCTAGAGTACCTATATTCTTTCCTAGGTGCCACCCCCGTCCCCCATTGTGAATTAGCATCTGCATATCAAACAGTTGGCCTTTGGTTTTATGGGATTGGCTTATTTCACTTAGCATGATATTCTCCAGCTTCATCCATTTACCAGCAAATGCCATAATTTCATTTTTCTTTAAGGCTGAGTATTCCACTGTGTATATATACCACATTTTCTTTATCCATTCATCTCTTGAAGGGCACCTAAATTGGTTTCAAAGTTTAGCTATTGTGAATTGAGCTGCTGTAAACATTGATGTGGCTGTGTCCCTGTAATGTGCCGATTTAAAGTCCTTTGGGTATAAATTGAGGAGTGGGATAACTGGGTCAGATGGTGGTTTGATATGTTTTCTTTTGAGTTAAATCCTGAGTCATCTTTTGTTTAGGAAGCAAGTGGTCAAGATTTTACTTTTGTTTTCAGTTGATTCTAAAAGGGGGAAAACTGACAGGTGGTTCAAGGGGAGGTTCACTTTCAAGGTTTAGAAATGAGGTTAAAGATAAGAGCATTGTATAATGCTTTGAATAGGAAGCCCTCTATTCGTTCCTATGTCTCTAAGAATAACATCAATTCTAACATTATTTAAAAAAATTAGCCCTGAAATCACTTTATTACCTTTTTGTTTTCCAAGCCCTGTCCTAGCAAGGCTGACATTTGCCCCCAACTTTATATCAGCTCTGCTCAGCCCTTACATTTAATAATTATCTCTGGAATCTTCATATTTAAAAAAGCATTTTCTGAATGAGTTTCTTAGATATGCTTACTGAGAGTGGTTAATCATTTCCACTCACTGCATCTTAATACTTGTTGCAAATCAAGTTCTCTTAAAAGAGGTCTTATTGGGTACAGTAGCACATGCCTGTAATCCCAGTGGCTTGAGAGGCTGAGGGAGGAATATCACAAGTTCAAAGCCAGCCTCAGCAATTTAGCAAGGCCCTAAGCAACTGGATGAGACCTTGTCTCAAAACTAAAAAATAAAAATGGCCGGGAATGTGGCTCAGTGGTTAAGTGCCCTTGGGTTCAATCCCTGGTACGAAAAAACCAACCAAACCAAACCAAACCACAACCACCACCACCACCACCACAACAACAAAAACTCTTTTCCTTATTAAGTTCCAAACAGAAGCCAAAAATTTAGTAGGAATGGCCTGATGGCTTCCTAGCTTGTTGAGGCCTGGACTCCACTCTATACTGAGCTACAACCCCAGCCTCCAAAGTATTTTTTTTATTACTTAGGAATGATATTAAAGTAAGATGATTTAACTTTCTACTCTTTTCCAGTTACTGATCTTACTCTATACTGGTTCTATAACTCTTTGAAAAAATCCATAAAATTCACTAGAAGGAAATCTGATATATTGAATTCTATGCATGAAATTTTAAAATATCTTTTGAAAAAATTTATTTATTTTACAGTAGAATGCATTTTGACATATTGTATACAACTGGAGCACAACTTCTCATTCCTCTGGCTGTACATGGTACAGAGTCACTCCAGTAGGGTAATTACACATACATGTAGGGTAATAATGTCTGTCTCATTCTACTGTCCTTCCCATTCATGCATGAGATTTTTGAATTAGCATAGGAGAATAATTAATATACATCACAGTTGATTTTCTCAGATTATAGAAGTATTATAAAATTAAAATTTCAAGCTCAAGCATTTGGGTCCACTTGGTGGTCCAAGTAGGTCCATAGCTCCTTACATCACCCACATCAGAATTCTCACCTCAGTCCCAAGCAGATGAAGCAGGAGTGCCGAAAGCAGTGGGGGCCAAATGGCTTATGGTGACTTAGCATCTTCCGAGCTAAAAATATTGCACATGTGAAGCAAAATACATCCTCAGGCATTTATGGGTCATCCCTTCAGTCTAGACACTAAAGATTCCCAAATCTTTATCCATGATACAGATATCTTTCCTTAGTTCTAGACAGTTGTCCATCTGTCTGCTGGCATCTTCTGCTGAATGTTCTACGGATATCTGGCTCCTCACTGAATTCGTCTTCCTTCTTCTGCTCTTTCTCCAGAACTCTTGCAGAAACTCCAAACTTGCTTCCATCTAACTAAGCCTCCATGATTATTAAGTGATCATAGAGGAGGATAGGAAACAGACTTCTTATACTGGATTTTGCTAACTTGTTTTCCCAAAGTAGTTGTGCCAACTTGTGTTCCCATCAGCAATACTTGAGAACTTCTGTTTTTCCAACATTTGGAATATTAGATTTGCATTTTTACCATTGTGATGAATGTGCCATGGTAATTAATTTTGAATTTCCCTCATTATCAGTAAGATTGAAGATACTTTCATATGTTTTTGTGCACCCACGTTTCATTCCATGAATGGTCTATTAATATCGTCAGTCCAATTTTTCCGCTGATTGCTGTGGGGTACTAATCCTTGGTTGGTGTTACATATAGAAAGCAAATTTTCTCAAATTGTGTCTTGTCATTTCTCATTCCTATGCTGATTTTTTAAAAAAAATATTGTAGTAAGTTGGTCAACGTTTTATTGTCTACATTATAATTTTGTATATTTTGTTTAAAAAGATCCTGCCCTACTTCAAGGTCATGAAGACATCTCACAATTTTATTCCAATTTTGAAAAGTTTTGAGTTTTAAAAAATGTCTTTAATTCAGCTCATTTCCACTTATATATGAGATAAAAATCTATTCTGCTTTAAAAAATATGAAAAACTAAGTATTCCATAAATTATCAAGTAATCCAATCATTTCCTATTGATCTGCAATGTCATTTCTACCAAATATTAAGTGTCTAAATAGGTACAGGTTCATTTCTGGGCTTGATGTTTCGAACCAGTAGTTAATTTATCTATCATCATATTAAACACATTTCCTAGATTTCTATAGCTTTAAAAATAAGCTTTGATATTTGGCAAGGCAAGCTTCTCTAGTTTATTAATTTTCAAATATTTTTTATTTATATTTCCATTAGGGCATTATAGTTTTACATAATAGTGGGGTTCATTTTGACTTATTCATAAATGCACATAACATAATTTGCTCCATTTTGATCTCCAGTCCTACCCCTTATCCACATTCCTTCCTAAATATTTATTTTTATTTTTTAATTGTTGATGGACATAATATCTTTATTCTATTTATTTATTTTTATGTGGGGCTGAGGATCGAATCTAGTGCCTTGTGTATGCAAGGCAAGCATTCTACTACTGAGATACAACCCCAGCCTTCAAAGTATTTTTTGATTACTTATGCGTCTCTTCTCTTTTTGAAAAATTTAGAATCAGTGTATCAAGTATGATGGAAATTTATAGATTAATTTGGAGGTTACTGATTTGCTTATTTACTTTTTTTTTTTTTTGTGCTGCTAGGGATTGGATCCAGGATCTCATGTGTGTCAGGTAAGTGCTCTATATCCCCAGCCGTTATTTTAATATTTGTGTCATCCTGTTAATTTATATTATATTTTAAAAGTCATATTTTCTAATTCTTTCTGACACACAAAAATACAATTTAATTTTTAATTTTTATTCTGCTTCTGGCAACTTTGTAAATTAAACTTGTCATTAATTATGATAAATTGTACTCATTTTTTTTTTGATTCTCTATGGTAATAGTTGCTCTTGTTTAGAAAATGTCAATAATTCTTTGATCTCTCCCTTCAAGAGGTGGAACCCAATACAGACCTCTTTCTTGATGTGGACTAGACTTACAGAGTTTATTTTAACAAATAAGAAAACAGTGGAAGAGCTGACGAGATTTCTGAGATTTGGTTATAAAGGACACTGTGGCTTCCATTCTGCCTTCTCTCTGTATTTTTCTATCTCTGATAACTTGCTCTGGGGAAGCCAGCTGTCATGTCATGAGGACACTCAGGCAGCTCTGTGTAAAGGCTCAGACGGTTTTGAGCTGAGGCCTTCAGCCAACAGGGAAGGAAGTGAAGCCTCCAGCCATGGGAGGGAGCCATCTTGGAAATGGATCCTTTGGTTCTCGTCAAACTTTCAGAGGGCCGTGGCTTCATCAGACATTTTGACTACAACCTCCTGAGAGATCTGGAGTCTCTAAGATGCTTCTAGATTTCTGACTCTCAGAAACCTTTTGAAGTAATACAGTCTTTTAAAGAGAAAAATTTAGCATTTATTTTATTATGACTATATAAATATTATTCACAGCCAAGTCACATAGTGTACTAAGAAAAAATTGACTTTCTCATGTAACCTAGAGTTAACAATTGTTTCTTCTCTTTCTTTTATATTTTCTTGTTTTCTTTGAACCTCTTAGCAATTCTTTCATCTTTAATGTCCCAGTTACCCTCTATCCTCAGGCCAAGATTCAGAGTTGGAAAGGCTATAAGAATTCTTAATTTCCTTTCAACTTTAGGAATCTCTCACTCTGTACCCAGTGAGACACAATTCTTAAAAAAATAGTTGGCTAATCAAAGAAAGCTTATCTTTTCTCATTCTTAAATTTGTTTTGTTTTTCCTCTAACGACTTCATTGATAACTTGACATATAAAAATTCTATTTATTTAAGGTGTACCATTTGGTGTTTTGATACACATAAACATTGTGAAATGATCACTACATTTCAGATAATGAACATATTTATCACCTCTGCATAGTTACCATTTGTGTGTGTGTGTGTTGAGATTTACTTTAAAATCTATCTGCTTAGCTGATTTCAAGTATGCAATGTAGAGTTTTTAACTACTGTCACTATGATATACTTTGAGTCTTTAGAACCTATTCCTCTTATATAACTGAAACTTTATGTCCTTTGACTGCTATCACTCTATTCCACAAACCCCATATCCAGGAACCTGGAAGCCAATCTTCTACTCTGAGGTTATATTAGTTCAACTATTAAAATTACCCACATAGGCGGATCCCACAGTATTTCTCTTTTGTATCTAGCTTATGTAGCTCAATGTAACACCTTCTAGCTTCATCTGTGTGGCTGCAAATGGAACTATTTCCTTTTTTTAAAGGGCAGAATAATATTCCATAGTATATAGGAACCCCATTCATTTGTCAAAGAACATTTAGGTTATTTTCATGTTATAGCTGTTGGGAATAAAGCTGCAAAAAATGTGGGAGTGAAAATCTCTCTTCTACTTACTTATTTAATTTCCTATGGGAGAGCAAAGGGGCTTCAGGGAAGAATAACCCTTCTAGGGCACACTCCTCGTGACTCACCTCCTTGTACCCCACCAGGAGCTGGGCAGTTTTCCTGCTCTGGCCTCTCCTGCCATGATGTGCTGCCTCATCTGGGGCCCAGAGCAATGGAGTCTATGGACTGAAGCTCTGAAGCCATGAACACCAAATAAACTTTTCCTCCTCCAGGTTGTTCTTTTTTTTTTAATATTTATTTTTTAGTTAGACACAATACCTTTATTTATTTTTATATGGTGCTGAGGATCGAACCCAGGGCCTCAAACGTGCTAGGCAAGCCCTCTACCGCTGAGCCACAACCCCAGCCCTCCAGATTGTTCTTGTTGGGTATTTTGATCACAGCAATACAAAATCTGACTCAGGCCCTTTTGGATTTATGGGTGTGAATCAGGCATGTTGTATTGCTTTCTTTCCTTCCACAGGCTGGTTCTGTGTTTCATTTATTTTTCTACCCTGATGCTTTGCTGCATCAATTAACCACTTATTGAGCTGTGTTTCTTTCAAACTTTTCTTTCCACATTTTTAAAAATCTCCTCTTCTGTTACCTTGTGTTATCAGGTTTATTCCTTCAAGAAAATTCTTTTTGGGAGCTTTACAGGAAAATAAGTATCGTTAATTGGTTTGCATTTCTAATGTTTAACTGGACATCCTAATTTATCTCCTTTATCTCTTTCTTCAACAATTTCTGTGTCATCTAGATTATCACATCTTCCATGATCTGCATACTGCTGCTGACAAAATCTGCTTAAAAATCCAACTTGAGAATCTTTGTTTCTTTACTGGTAAGTTTAATTCATTTATATTTATTGTGAATATTACTTTCTCCTCTTTATTAGTTTGGAAATTATAAATTCTATTTTTATGGCTTTAGGGATTACACTTAAATTTTGATTTGCATACTTGATTTAGCCAACTCAAATAATACCTCTATCCTTAACCTGGTCGATACAAGCTTCTTAGAATCATTATCTGATTACCAACTCTTGATTAGCAACCTCTTCCACTGTTCAGAATCTTTAGTGTTATATTCAGCTATACATTTTTTTATACATCAAGTTAGACATTCTTTTTATCATAACTGTGTATTTTACAATCTCTTTGCTCACAATTGCTTTTTGCATTTAACATTTTCTTTCTGGGTTCAATTAACCTATAATGAAGAACATACTTCAATAGTTTCTTTCAGTGAAAGTCTTTGAATAATACATGTTCTTAGTCTTCAGGTAAGCAAAAATGTATTTATTTCATTTTCATTTTCAAATCTTGGTTAGCTGGGTATACAGTTTTAAGGCTGTAGTTTACTCTTTCTACACATTGAAAATATTTTTTTATTGTCTTCTGATGCCTGTTGTTGCTGGGGAGAAGTCTTCTAATGTTCTTTATAGTTAAATTCTCTCCATTTTTTTCCTTGTAAGATTTTTTCCTTTGTTTTTTTTTGTTTCCTATGTTTGTTAAGATGTATATAGATATGGATTTATTTTTATTTTTATTGTTATGAGATTAAAAATATAGCTAGGTATGAATTTTTTCTTTTCATAAAAAAGAAAAAATTACTAGTGTTTGTTTCTTTAATCTGAGGATTTATGTTTTTCATCAATTCTGAGAAATTCTTAAGACATTATCTTTTCAGACGTATCACCTCTGTTCTTTCTTTCCAGCTTTCCAGTTTCATGTAAGTTAAACTTTCTCATTCTGCTGTGATCCTATATCCCTTATCTTTTATTTTTATTTGTTTTTGGATCATTATTTCTGATCTATCTTCTATAGTACTCATTATTTTTTCTTTTTAAAATTTAAATAATCTGTATTTTAACCCATCTGTTGAGAATTAATTTCATTGTCATTGATATTTTTTCTCTAAAGCTTTTTCCCTAGAGTATTCTGTTATTTCCCTATATTTTCATTAGCTTTTTATTAAAAAGATACCTTCTCTTTTACTCTTTCTCAGATTATTCTAGTATCTAAAATTCTTGGTATGGTCCATATTCCAGTTTGTTTTATCTGCTGACTTTCTCTGATAGTAGATGGTTTCCTTATATGATGTATAGTTTTTGAGTGTGAATTTATCTTCAACAGACTTTAATTTTTTTTTTCTTTTTTGCAGGTGTGTCAGTGTTGTCTGCAACCTGCCATGGGAGTTTTACTTTGCCTCTGCCTAACATCCTGGGATTTTTAAGTTATCCAGTTAGCTTAGAATTCTGGCATTACTTGAGTAGAATTAAACTCTAGAATTGTTCAGACTTGATACTTCAATTCCTTATGAGAAAATTTGATTTCATTTTGGCCATCCTTTACTTTTGGAAAGTACAGATTTCCTTGATACTTACATAGGCCCAAAAGCTAATTTTTGAAAATTTTTGTTTTCACAAAGGGAGAAATCTATTCATTATCTTTCTTTATACAGTTATTTCAGAAATAAATTGTATAACTATAATTAAAAGTTAACTTTATTAAAAGTTTTAACAAAAATAAAACTTTTTCTGATTTCAGTGTTCAGTGACTCTCTAGTTACCAATGTAAAGTATTTGAATCAATCTTCTCATATTTGATCTAGATCTAAGTATATATAAATACAAAGGTTTTATAAATTAATAGCCTTCATTGTCTATGCAACTGTTGAGGATGCCAAATTCAATTCACAAATGCCAGTAGACCTATAACTGCCTCTGGAGAAGCAAAAGATACCTAAGGAGAGAGAGGGAGAGAGAGAGAGAGAGAGAGAGAGAGAGAATGAGAATCGAACCCGGGCTGCACGCATGCCAGGAGAGCGCGCTACCGCTTGAGCCACATCCCCAGCCCAAGATACCTAAGTTTTATGGGGAATGAATGTTCATTTTTCAAGAACCTGTGAATGCATTTCTCTCAGTGAAAAGATTTGACAAGGTGACTTTTCTTATTACTTACCCAAATGTTTCTACACTCAAATATTCAAATCCTCCTCTTACTCTGAATTAGTTGCTCAGCATTTGGTTCTAGGTGCCCTTTATTTTGAAAACGTAGGTGAGAGATATGGAAAATAGTTTCCCTGGGGCCTGAACAGTATTAACCCTAAGAATGAATATGTAGAGTTCTGCTCCTTCTCTGCCATCTCTGTGCACCAGATCCTCAGTAATGGAGACACCCACGTGTTCTTAGATAAATTTGCTCATTTTTGTGATATGTGGAACTTTCTAATGTCAGGACAGGGAACTTGACTGGATCTAAAGGTAATGTTTTTTTTTTTTTAATCACATTTAATTTTCATTTTAATTGCTACAAAATAATCATATGTATTTACGGGATATAGTGTGATATCTCAAGATGTGTATATGGTGTATAATGATCACATTAGGGTAATTGGCACATGTATCACCTCCAATATAAATACTTTTTTTGTTTTAGGAAAGTGCAAAATCCCCTCTACCAGTTATTTTGAAATGTGCAATGAATTGTTGTCCACCTGTTTGAATAATCTATGATTTTGAAGAAAAAACATTAGGGTACAGCACTTTTTTTTTTTGCTGAGCCACTTCCTGGTTCTTGGTCACCTTCCTCTTGAAGTGAGAGTCATCACACACTCTGTTCTACAAGTCTCTGGTCATAGTGGTTTTCAAGAATTTCTTGGAAGGATGTTCTTTTTTTTTTTTTTTCATGATTGTGTGTGCCGAGTCCATGGGGAGTAAGCCAGTCATCGCTGGTAGCTGACATTGACATCACTGGAATCAACATGAAAGAAGGCAAAATCACACTATCACTTATAAATTAAACTAACACTCTCTCTCTCTCTCTCTCTTTCTCTCTCTCTCTCTCTCTCTCTCACACACACACACACACACACACACACACACACACACACTGTAGACTATGTACTGATGAAGCCATCTCTATCCCTATATATATATTTTTTAATAATTTCTTTTAGTTATAGTTTGACACAATACTTTTATTTTATTTATTTATTTTTATGTGGCGCTGTGTATCAAAACAAACTCAGTGCCCTGCATGTGCTAGGCAAGCACTCTACCATTGAGCCACAACCTCATCTACCCCCATATTTTTCAGTTATACAAACTGTTATATTTTTTCTTTTGCTTAAGATAGTTTCGATTAGATTTTTACTATTTGCTACTAAAACAACCCTATAAACTCCTGAAAATTTGACTGGCCTGATTTTTCCTAAGTAGAAGATTGAGACTGATCCATGTGATAAGCATTAAGAGAATTGTGTTATGTATTCCTAATCTGATTCTATTGATCTAGAATATTTCTTTTTTCTCCCTCCCCCCAATAGTAGTACTGTTTTCTTGACTCATTTTTTTAAAAATAATTATGCCCTCCATCTTGCTCTTGGTAGTATTTATATAAATAAATCAGATTGTTTCATTCCTTAAGTAGCTGTAATTTATTGTGCACATGATTATTGACAATGAAGACTAACTAGAGAAGAATTACTCAGAATTAGTTTCATTTAGGTCGTATAACAAGAAGATCATGAATAAAACAGATTATATCTCTTGGCATACAGAAAAGGAGACTGATGTACTACAGTGACTCTCAAATTTTACTGTGCATAAGAATTTTCAGATGAGCTTGTTAAGTATATAGATTCCTAAACTTAACACATAATGGCTCTCTTTCAGTAGATTGGCACAGAGCCCAGAGCTATGCATTAAAAAATGCACTTCAAGGGCAGGCAAAATAATCTATGGTGGAAAAAAATTAAGAACAATGGTTGCCTTTGGGATGGGGTGGAAATTGACTGAGAGAGAGAGATGAGTAAAACTTTTGGGGGAGGGTAATGCTCTGCTTTTTGATAAAGGTTTGGATTACACAAGTATATATAGAATCCATTGACTGGTACACTTAGGATTTGTGCATTCAATTATATTTAAGCATATCTCTGAGGAGAACATCTGAAAGCGAGTGTTGAACACTAACAGTATCCATGCTGAAATGTTTATGGTGAAATGTACTGATGCCTGCAATTTATTTTGGCATGCATCAAAATTAAGAATAGATTTGTAGATAGACAAGTGTGATGTAGCAGATTGTAGGTGGTTAGATATATGGGGGTTTGTCACATTCTTTTAATTTTTCTGAATGATTGAAAATATTCATAGTAAAATGCTGGGGAAATGAAAGCTCTCCAGCCAAGTTCTGTGACATAAATGTAGTGAAAAGAATGTGAACTTGGTAGGGGGACAGCTGTGGATATCAGCTCTGATTCACCTTTTTTTTTT